GTGAAACTCCGACGAAACAGTTTGTCACAGCCCCTCGTTTGTTGTCCTCTTCTCCCTCTCTGCCTACGGTTTACCGGACAGTTCTATTTGACAATATATATATATATATATATATAGATATATAAATATATATATATATATATATACGTTGCTGATGTGCTCAACCACCAAGCACTATGGAATCACCATTGGGGTTATACCCACACTGATACCCTGCCTTACCTATACTATGTGTTGAAAGCCCACAAGTCTCCTCCAGCTCTTCGCAGCATTCTTGGAGTCACAACACAGAACACTTGTCCTGTCCCCCCACGCACTCGCACTCGTCCTTCAATTCGCACCATTCATGAACGGCCTCCTCACAAACCCTTGGCTAGCACAACGGCTACTTCGTCCTGTCTCAGCACTGCTTTGCAAGGCGTGATCTCTACTCTTCGTGAGAAAGACACTGAGCTCTATCAACAGGAAGGTGTTCGACGGTGCTGGATCGTCCAGAGTGCCGATGAGGTGGCGATTGACCTGAAAAACAATGTGTCCTCTCTACGTGGCCTCTCTCCTCGCACGGTTGATTTCACCACAATGTACACCTTCCTCATGACCGCATTCTGAATAATGTGGCAAAGGCTGTTGATGAAGCTCATGCTTATGCCCTTCAGCATACCAGCATGCATTCGCGCTGCAGAGCCTTGAACATGTTTATTCGCGGGCCTCGCTCTGGCCAATGGACAACCGATTCAAGACCAGACAGCCTTTCCGTTTCTCAGATTCTCCAACATCTTCGCTTTGTTGTAGAAAACATTTTTCTATACACTAGAGATGGTACTCTTCGAAAGCAAATCATTGGTATTCCAATGGGAACAAATGCTGGTCCAGAAATCTCCAATCTAACGCTCTATTGGGATGAAGCACGCTTTATTGATGACATTCGTCAACATGATCCCCAAGCTGCTCAGCGATACGCCTTCACTTATCGCCTCATTGATGATGTTCTTTCATGGGGGCAATTACCTCCTCCTTCAGAGCACTATGGTCTCGAATGGAAGAAAACTACGGCTACAGATGGCTCGTGTACCTTTTAGGTATGCATCTACGGGTACGTTCTGATGGTTCGCTTCGCATGAGCGTGTTTGATAAAGCGGCTGCTTGGGATTTCCCTGTTATTCGCTATCCAAGTGCTACCTCCRACATCCCTTCCCATCAACCGGCMGGTGTGTTCACTGGGCAATTGACCAGATTTGAACGCATCTGCAATAATTGGCAGGACTTCCGAACTGCAGCGACAACACTCACTCGTCGCATGCTTTCTCGTGGTCATTCCCCACCAACCCTCGCTAAAGGATGGACCTGCTACACACGCTCCCGCCAACGTCGCTATCCTACACACGTCACCCGTCTCTCTCAGTGGTTCCGACGCATGCTGTGATGGTCCTTGCATTACCCACTTTCTTCTTTATCCCCACATCGCTCTCGTCCTGTCACTGCTTGTTCATATGCTGCTAATGCAGTTCCCACTGTTGCGGTTCCCATCGCCGCCACTTCCACCATTGTGGTCTCCACTGCTGCAGTTTCTACTGCTGCTGATTCAACTCCGGGTTTCACTCCGGCAGTTTCTGCTATGGAAGTTGCCTCTGTTGCGGTCCCTGCTACGGAAGTTGCCTCTGCTGCGGTTCCTGCTACAACAGTTGTCTCTGCTGCGGTTCCACTTTTTGCCACTGCGGTTCTTGCTACAACAGTTGTCTCTGCCGCGGTTCCACTTTTTACCACTTCCTCTGCTTCTGTAGCTCGAATTTCTCATGCTATAGTTTTTACTGGTATAKYTTCCTCTACCCCAGCCCGACACTCGCGTCCTATGTTCCGACATCCTGCCCAATCCACCCCCCTTTCATCCCTTTATGTGCTTGGCCGCAGACGGCTGCGTTCCTCCTCGCCACCCCCATCTCCTCCACGGTCTCGTTGCAGAACCGATTATCCGGTTTCTATTCTTCCCATTGTTCCGCCTTCATTGCCAGTGTCATCCTCATCTTCTGTTAGAAACATCACCACTCTTATTGTGTATCATCATCGATGACATGCACAACATCGCCACTTGGCCAGGGATCAGCAGCCTGCTTCTTTGTCTACCCCAATTTTCACTGTGCCTCCTCCACAGGTTGTTGCGGTTCCGTTGTCCCAAAYGGATACATCCGCTCCTATGCCTCCTGCAGACAGTCTAGCTGCTTGCACACAGCCACAGCACCGTGTTTTATGCCCTTCCATGTTCGTTTGTCCCCCAGCTGTACAACATGCGGCCCCGAACGCTGAGGGCCTGGAACATGATCAGCTCGGACTGCATTTAACTCCGCAAGGCATAGACCACACGGGGGATTTGCAAATGGCTGACCAGGATCATATGGATGTTTTGCTATTTTTCACACAGTTGTTATGATCCTGGCCAATTTTGAGATACACATTCATCAGATAGTACAATGTTTGTCCAATTGCAGAAAGAAATGAATGAACTTGAGAAGAGAGAGAAGGTTAGAAGAAGAAGAAGAAGTAAGAAAGAAGAAGAAGATGATGTACACCAGCATAGACAAATGATAAAGCTCTTCTTCTTCTCTCAACCCTCTCTTCCTCCTTATCTCCTCCTCCCTTATTCACACAAGAAGTAATAATACAATGTTGGATAGCTGAACCAGAGGCAAAGTCCGAATCCTTCTTCTACTGCAGGTATCACTTGAGGTCCACCATAGCCATGGCCGCCTCTCCGACTCTTCACTCTCATAGACCGAGGCTATGGCGGACTACTAGGCCTTGCCCAGATGTCCAAAGGACATCCCAAAGTAGCTATGGCTGCCCTAGCTCAGGCCGCCATGCCTGACTCTGCCTCGAAACTTCTTGGTGTAGCTCAACCCCAGCTGGGACCTTCCTGCTGCAGCGCCCACCAAGGAGATGAAGATGGCTGCCACCATAGCCAGGTAAGTACCTCTGGCGCTCCTCCCCCTTCTGCCCTTCTTCCTCGTCTGACTCCTTGCTTCTTCCCCAGCAGCGCTGCTCCCAGCTAGCGCTGCTCCAGCCAGCACTCCAACCAGTGTGTCGCCAAACTTGCACACCGACAAGGAGGCTGGGCTCTTCGCTCGACCTGAAGATATAGCGGCCTGCTTGCCTCTTGGGCGGTGACTTCCAGTCCGCTCGGCCTTCCCAAGCAACCGGTACCTCCTCCCTTTCGGAGGGAAACATCATTGCAGACTCTGATGTTGCCCGTACAGGCCCTAGACTCCGACTGGTTGGACTGGTMCCCGCCTAGACCTAGCCTACAACTACTGGGCCTCTTCAAAAGCCACTTTTGTCTTCTTCTGCTCGGCCTCCAGCACCCGCACCTCTAACTCTTCAGGGTGTGGTACCGCCCTACCAGCTACTTGAGTGTTTTCCCCGCTGCAATCCCTTAATGTCACGGCCACAGGTAAGTACCGGCCCTGAGGGCCCAACGAACGAACAAGTGCCCTTGGGGGCCACACACACACTCAAGCCAACCAGCACTCAGACAGACATGCAGTCCAGCAAGCGTGCATCCACACAGACTTAGAGAACTTAGAAGCAAGCGGGAAACTCAGCAAGGCATTCAGTCCAGGAGCAAAACTCAGAAATCAGCTGTGTGTCTCAGTCCATGTTTGGTCGGGTCATCACACAGTAGACTTTTCAACCATTTTTGCTTGTGCTAGTGAACCATTTTTTCACACAGTAGACTTAAATGCACTCACAAAGACTAAGCTATCCTAAGGTTATGGGTCTACCACTCTACGCCTATCTAACTCTGTTCTGTGTGGGGAGGAGCACCCAAGCTTGTGGTCTTCCGGGTCTTGTCTGTGGCCCAAGCATGTGTGGACTTTAACTTTCCGGAGCTCCGCAGTCATTTTATTTCAGAATCTGCATTTATAATTTTATATGTTATCTTATGGTGCTCCACTGCTCCTGAATATTTCAGAGAGCAGTCAGTCGGGCAGGCCTCGTAGCGGTGAGGAAGTGACTGAGCTATTTTTATAATTGCCCCGCACGCACTGGGCAGACATAGAAAGCGGGGGGAAGGGGGGGGGGGAAGGCACAGACAGGCAACTGGTAAGGACTTCAGTGCTGGCTAGGAGTGAGCACATGGTGGAGAGAAGAGGAAGGTGACTGGTGGGCATGGCAGCCCAGCGTTGACCTCTTGGCATCTCTCACTCGCATGTCAGAGAGAGAGAGAGAGAGAGAGAGAGATGTATTTTCTGGGTGCAGGCAGTCAACACTCTTCGGGGAGGTGGAGGCTATGTTCAAGGTGTGAGTCAGGGGAGGCATTGAGCGGACTTGTATCCTATAGAGCTGGACTTCTCTCCTCCTCCACTTATTCTTCTAGACTCCATCTGCAGATGAGTGCCCAGGGAGGACTCGAAGTTCGTCGAAATGTTGGTAATTAAATTATCATTCTCGAATCTCGATATTTCTGTTCTTTTCCCTTATTCAAAATTTATTATTTTACTTCAGATACTTATTAGTTTTATTCCACATTGTCAAGTTTCCTTTCGCCTTTCTTTTTTCTTTTTTCAATTTGAACCATTTCTCGATTAATGTGTGTCATCCTTGCGCAGGGGTCATGCTAATCTTCTCTGTATCGTTCCAATTTTAACGGATGTCCTGAAGGACTCCTTTTTCCTTTTCTTTTTTTT